TGGGAGGACCCCAGAGGGCTGTGTCTACATCCCTGTGCAAGTTTACCCAAGGAAATACCAACCCTACGTACCTGTGTTTCTTTCTGCAACTGAACAACAGCTAAGTATAATTCGGGGTGTGATTCCTTTTGTGAACCCAGACCTGGAGTCTTCTGGGACTGTAGGCATCTCTGGTCAGTTTGAAACAAAACAAAGAAAAAGCGAACAAAAGAAGAAAACACCGACCAACATCCCTGCAGCGAGTTAAAGAGACACAGTAACTTTCACATCCCAGGAGCCGAGCCCAGGCAGGACAACCTTCACTACCACTGCTAAGTAGCTACAGAGTGTCAGGCATCATGGTCAAGTTTGAATTGTTTCCCGTATCCTCAAAACAACAGTATCAAGTAGGGAATGTGACGCCAGCTGCAGGGGTGAGAAAACCGAAGTTTAGGAAGGTTAAACGGAAGGTTAAACGTGTGTGTGATAGATTCCACACAGACTCTATGCACAAAGCATCATTAGCCTTTTTTTCAAAGCTTCTCTATAACACACAGACATGGAGAGAACTATCATGCCTGCCTGCTCACCCTAGCACCTCAAACCCACGCCACAGAGGGAACCCATGAGCCTGGAAGACTAGAGGCCGGCTAAGGTGCGGCGTCCGGACGGCGGGCGTGTGGCTGGGAGCCGGGCGGAGGGGCCGGAAGCAAGAGCGGGGCCACAGTGGCATTCATTGTTCAGCGAGCTTGTCCACAGAGTTCAACCCACCGACAGCAATGAATGTTGATTGTGGCCTTCAGACAAACACCCTCTCGGCTCAGGGAGGGACGGCCCGGCCCGGCGCGCTCCGGGCTGGTGCCGTAGCTGATGGTTAGCCACAGGGTACAATCAACGGTCGATGGTTTTGACTTTAATTCCAAACTCACCGACAGCGTTGAATGTTCACCGAAGCAACCTCGTTCTCGGAGTTCTGCCGCCTGCACCGTCTCTGCAAGTGCCGGGAGCGGGTTAGGGACAAACAACAGTACTTTCGGCTGTGTTTTTTGTGCATTTTAAGCCATTTCGAAAAGCGTACGAATGGAGAAGCATGATTCCTCCAACCAAGAGTTTGGCAAACCTCCCTGTCACATTGTGGGGGAAGTAGGTCTGTTTCATTGAACTAAAAAAAAAAAAAAAAAACTTCCCTTGGCTTAGTTCCAGAGATGGAATTATCTCATGGTTAATGACAGAGAGAATGTGTTCTTCCGAGTAGCTGGAGGTACCCAATCAAAACAGTATCTGATCATTTAAATGTTGCTATGCTTAGAGTAGGTGAACATGAAGTATTTAGAGCCTACCAATTAAACAGAATTTTCTTAGATTTCCTAAAATCAAACGAATGTGAGTCAGTGTTACCCTCCAGTGCTTGATATTTCTCTCTCATAGAAGGTTACAGAGTGAGAACAATTTCCTAAGTATTCTTATTTAGAATCTCCTGAAAGACAGTACGTGAAGGACCAGCTGGACACATTTTTCTTAGCTCACAGGGCACAGAGACGCCGCGGGTGCTCCGAAAGGCAAAAGCCATCTCTGAGTGCGACACAGCCACGGTGCCCCGCTGTTTCGGATACGAACGCCCCTGCACGCCCTCCCCCCATGCTTTGCCCATCCCCTTTCTCCCAGAGTGCTTCGTGATCTGTTTGCGTGTTAAATCATTGCCAACTCGGTTGAATACATTTTTAGACCACCTGCAATAACTTCCTATCATGGATCCTAAACAAGTCACTTCCGATGTCCCCAAACCAAGACAGGAGGCCTCCCTCTCATACATGACCGGCATGCAATGCGGTCAGAACTGGCTGCGGTCAGGCCACCCACAGCCACTCGGGACCCTAACCTGAAGGTGACCGTCATCTGTGCCAGCAACTGTCCTCGATGTAGAAGGGACACTTTCACCCTCACAGGTCACGCATTCTAACATTCGTTCAGAACATTTTTTATATCTGTATAATAATAAAATATATGATTTTTAATGTGTTTTCAGTTACAATCTAGAAATTATTTAAGAAAGAAGTATCAAAATAGAAACAATAATTTTTTTCTTTTCAAAACACGGAATCAAGTATATTGCTAAGAAACACAACCAAAAATTGTCTTTAACGTTAATTAACCAGAATCTTCAGTAGCTGGCTTTGTAAAATGTTTGTAACAGTCACCGTGAATAATATTGCTACACTCAACAGGAACCTAATCAACAAAACAAAGAAACAAGCAAAGTATAGCCAAAGACACTGAAACTGAGAACAGGCTGACAGTGACCAGAGGGGAGGGGGTTACAGGGAAAGGGTGAAGGGTTTGCAGGAACAACTATAAGGACACGTGGACACTAACAAGGTGGGGGGGGAGAGGGGAGGGAGGCGGACAGGGCTGGGGTGGGGGGAAAGGCAGAAAACTGTACTCGTGAACAATAAAAAATGTTAAAAAACGATATTACTAAATAAACATCTATGGCATAAAAAAACAAAACGTGTCACTTATCAAAATACTTTTTTCAAGTGCTGTGAAAAGTATGTAAGCCTTGAGCATTCAGAATATTTTAAAGTCACTAATTTTTAATGCTTTCTAGACACCGTTTACATGGAACCTGATTTTTTTTTTTTAAGGGAAAGACGCTTTAGGGGTCTACTGCGCATCCGTATGGAGTGCGGTGACAAGTTGGGAATGTAGATTCATCTGCATTTTGCTGCGTTTAAGTCTTTTGAACGAAGCAGTTTTTCTCCCCCGCTGAATAAAACTCTTTAGAAGGCCCCCTTCTCCGTGGGCACTGCGGCGCCGCTGCTGGGGGGGTGTCACCCCAGACCGAGGACCGCGGAGGGCGCCTCGCGCCTGGCCGGCGTCCTGCCCACCGGGGGAGTGTCGGGTCGGCGCGCCGCCGCTTCCGGTCGCGCCCGCCCACCGCCCACCGCCCACCGCCCGCTGCAGCTGCGAGCTCTGGCAGGACCGGTACGCGGTGATGAGACCCTCAACTGTGTATTTGCATCAACACAAAGTAGGCATTTGGCCTCCTAACAGGCCAAGCGGGAGGGCACCGCAGAGCCGGGCTCCGATTTGTCCCCCCAAATGCTTCCCTAGAGGTCCTTTGCAGAACGCAACGAACTGAAAGTTCTCGCACATGAAGGGGTTCACTTAGGACAACAGGACGTCACATTCCATGTCCCGGACGCGTGAGGTCGCAGCAGCCGGTACAGCGGCTCAGCCCCGTCTCTCCTGGGACCGGACTCGGGGTGCGCTTCGCACAGGTGTCGTTTGTGGCAGGTAACAGCTCGTCAATGGGCAGTTGAACCATTTTCCGTAACGGAAACGCGTCCTGCGGGCTCGGGCTCCACGCACTCCCGGGCTCCGGGGGCAGGGAGCAGAGGCAACTGCAGGGCCCCGTGTTCTCAAACACGCGTGTTCCGCCTACAGGAGTCCTTCTCCCGGCCGGGTCGGCTCGGGTCCTGCCCATCCGTGTGCGCGCTTCTCCGCATCCCGATCTCCGACTTCCGCCTCGGCGTTCCCGACCGACTCCCGGGCCGCGAGCCGTGGGTCTCGGCGAGCGCGGCGACTGCCCCGCGCCGAGCGGTCCCGCTTGCCGCGAGGACGCGGGCGGGGCCGTTTTTAGGGACCGGCCCGGGCTCCAGGGTTCTAAGTCGATGGCGGCGGTCTCGCTTGCCGCAGAGCTTCCCTGGAATGAGAAGGGCCGCCAGCCAGAGGCCGTTTAGGGATAGAGACCTCCCTCGCCCCGCCCTTTGCTTCGGAGGGGCGTGCCAGGAGGACGCGAGCGACGCGCGCCCCATCCAGACGCGTTTCGGCTTTGATTTCTCCTCCCTCGGCCGCGGAGCTCGGGCCGCATTTCGGCGTGGCTCAGGGTTTGGAGATCATAAACAAACCCACGCGGTTTCTCCGCCTTGAGCGAGGGTCACAGGATGCGCGAAAGCGCCGCCAAGCTAACGCGGCCTGGCGCGGGCGCAAGGGGACCTGGGGCGCGTGCCGCGTGACAGGCCGCGGGGCCGCGGAAGCGGTTTCCGGCACGATGTCGTCTGCTGACGACACGTGTTTACTCTAAGTGACGGCCTCCGCGGGGCAGGTGTATGAGCTGGGGCATCTGCGCGCCGCCTCCAGCCCCTCCCTCCGCCGGGCGCCTGGACCTACACGGAGCGCATGGGCGCGGGCGTGGCCCGGCGAAAGGGGCTCAGCTGGAGGGGACCCTTCGCTCCGGTCAGTGCGAACGTTTTAGGGGTGGCCAGAGCCGCGCATCTGTAGTTTAACCTGCGCTGTTTAGTGTTGGTGGAAATGAGTCACGAAAAGTAGCTGCCTTAGGAAAGGTGACCGGTGTGCGGGGTCCCAAGACCCCGTTTTGGTGTCCGTTTCTACCTTCTCGAACGGTTTCTCCCGCTGCTCGTGACGCAGACTCTCTTGGAATGTTCCAGCGCCAGCCCGTGCCCCTACAGATGATGCGGCTACCCTGCCTGTCGCAAAGGCCCATGCTGGGGCGTGGTCACGGTGAACGTGGGGACTCGCCACTCCAGCAGGAAGAGTAGGCGGTGGCAAGGACAGACCCTGCGCAGCCGTGCGGACAACTGAGGTGACAGGGGGGCGTGCCCTTCCCCGAGCAGGCGGGGCCAGAGGGCCCGGCCGCGGGCGCCAGACCTGCCCGCTCTGGGGCAACCGTCCCCAGGGGCGGGGCCCTGAGCCACGTCTTCGTGGGCACCCACAGCCTCGCTCCTGGGCGCAGTGAGGGGTGCCCTTCCCCGAAACACCGTGGCAACAGTGGTGCGCAACGCACTTTGGGCAAGGTCTCTGGGCTCGCTTTGGAGGGAAAACATTCCCAGCACAACCTTTGGACAATTTGGCAATGGGGGAAAACTGGCTGGTTTTTAATATGCGCATTAACTGGATTTAGACCTAAAATCCACACCATATATATTCCCAGAGAGACTGTGAGGGATTTGGAAGTATTTTTCGCAAACAAATCAGTCCAACTGGCACAGACTGAGCCCTTACGATTTTACAAGGAAATTGTATTTTCTGGAAAGATTTGGAAATCTACATTCTAGCCATCTTGGCGGGGTTTGTTCTTGGACATCGGCATGCGTGTACTGTTTGTTGAAAAACTGTACAGTGCCCCCAATACGTAAGAGTTTATTCTAATGGAGGAGGGTTTTGTTTTGTTTGCTTTTTTTTTTTTTAAGAAACTTTGCAGGTCCAACACGAAGGTCGCTTTTAGGAAGATCCTGGCACCACCGGTAGTGTTCGCGTATCTTACTGTCCTTCGTGTATCCGCGATTTACTGTATCACAAGCTGAGTGGACACTTTGGTTCTCCAGAGCGCATCCGAACGAACTGGGACCACCCAGTGGGCGAAGGTTTCCGTGTGGGAGATTCGCAGCAGTTTCCAAGGCGCTGTTCTCCCGGGCCGCGCCAAGCCAACAGCTCAACGCAGCAGCAGCGGGCCGAGTCCGCGGACGGGAGCGCCGCTCGCTGGCCGGGTTCCGCCCCCTCGCCCGTCCTCAATCTCCCGCATGACATGCGGGTCCTAAAACCACCCCCCACGGACACTCGTTCATCTTTCCCCTGAATCCTCCATAATGCGTATTCTGCCACGGACAGCATGAAACCCATTATGTAACGGAGAGACTTAGGTCTCGAATCTAGGCAAAGTTAGATTTCTTTTCCGAAGTGCCTAGAAATATATCTTAAACCAAGAAAGAAAGAAACGCAGCATCATCATGTCCCCAGGGAGTCCGGCGGCCGGCCGTGCCCTCTCTTACCTGGCGGGTGGGCTGGCTGACTGACTGGCGGGTGGGCGGGCAGCTCTCTGGGGGTCAGGTGTGGTGTCTCTACTCAAAAGGTGCAATGGCTCCCCACCCCCCGAGCTCCGGAGCCCCCCTCCCCCATTACCTAAAGCAGCAACGCAGCCTTGGGGACTCTGGCGGGCTCGGGACGGCTCCGTCTGATCCCCTGTCAAAACCGTTTCTCGTCCCTGAGCTCATGCCCTAAGTTATCTTTTAAAGCAAACACCACGCCACTGGCTCGGCACAGAATGAGACTAGTGTATCATCGCGTTCTTACACATCCATCAACTCTCCAGATTTTTTTTTAATGTTGCGAGGGTTTGTCTACCAGAAAAATAGTTCGGTGTTCCTTTGCTTTCGGATTTAGACTTCTTCCTGAAGGAAAAAGAAAAGAAAATATATACATTACTACATCTTCCCCAAAGCCCACGGAGCTTATATTGAAGTTAAATTATATCAGTCTTTCAAAACTACTCCTTTATAAATAATCATTTAAAGAACCAATTTACAAGTCTTTTTTTTTTAAAGAAAAGAACCTTTTTGAATAGAAAAGGCCCCAAGGATAGCATGAAGTTTGGACTGAGGAAAATATAATGAAAAATTCAAGTCCTGGTTGGAGCTGGGTTTAAAAAAACAAAAACCAACAAAAAGCACATTTTTCTACTGAAAAGCCACTCTGTCACCAGTGCTGCCACGGTGACTGGTAGAAGCCGTGCCAGCCGCGGTCAGCAGGGTTTATTTTTAGGGAAGAAATGCAGCCTCCGCGATCTGAGACTTCGCAGGAACGCCGGATCAGTCCCTCCTCGGGAGAAGGACGGACGGTCTCGCGGGCGGAGAGTCAAAACAGTTTCAGAATCAACCCGCAGCGCGGCTGCCCCGTCGGGGCCGCAGCCGGCATCCTTCTGCCGTGGTGATTAACCACGGAAATGAACCTTGGGCAATTAGCAGTAACACGTGCATAACAGAAAATAGGCATTTCTTTTCCTCAGAAAAAAATATATTTGTCTTTAAAATGATGGTAGAACTCTTGCTTACACAGACCTTAAAATTTGTCAGGGGGGGAGACCAGAAATGCATCACGGAGAAACAGGGCTAGGGTTCCTCTAATTTCCACGTGAAACCATCGGCTCTGACTTTATGATTGCATCACACGCCATGACAGGCCGAGTGTCCTGGCCGTACTTTTAGAATACTGACAACATCTTTCAAACTTTCAACCCTCCATTCAAAATTCAGTCTCCAGCCCAGCTCTCCCCAGCTTTCCGACTTCATTCCCCACTAATGATGTCATTTGCATGCCTTGCTATTTTGGGGAGATGTTGTGAATGTGTATTCCTGGCCTCATAAATTATACAAGCATCTGTTCGTTCGGTCGACAGGGCGGAATGTGTTTTGCATCAACCTGTGTGAAACAATGCATATAATACAATTTTATTTCCCCCGAGCTGTTCGTGAATACTGACTCGGTAATAAAACGAATGTTTGCATGATCAGGATGGAGGAGGAAGGATGCGAAATAGCAAATGACGAGTGTGTTCCAAAGCCCCACCTGTAGGAATTTCAGAAAAGAACTTAGGAGAGTGAGGTAGGTACGGTAACGTTCCGGGTTTCTAGTCCGCAGAGACGGTTCAAACCAGGTGAGGGCGGCACGATGTGCCCATTTGTTCTGAGGACGCAGCTGCTCCTCCCTCCCGGCTTTCCTCGCATATCAAACACTATTGCTGGAGGAGAGGGAAGCTGCTAAGGCTCTCTGATACCGAGTTCCCAGGCCCCACTGGGAGGACTGACCTGGAAGTGGGTGTAATCTAAAAGTGGGCGTGGCCAATCAGGAGCCTCGCCCAGAGTGGGCGGGGCGGGGCCTCGGTTCCCCCTACCCCGCGCTCCCCGCAGGAAACTGTGGGCTGAGATGGGGGTCCCAGACAAAACAGTCAAGGGGCCCCTCCAGGTCCGGATCACAGCACTCAGCACATCTCAGGGAAGTGAATGCTTCGGCATGCAGTCTCCATCAAACCCGCACCGTGTGGCGTGTGTGGATTGTTTCAAGAATTTATGCGTTGATTCTGAACCTTGATTAATGACCTTTACCACACCTGGGAGTCTGTGATTTTTTTTCAAAGTTTTCCTTCCTACTTTTCATTTCCTTAATCAAAGAGGATGATTCCATGTAGGGCTCAATCAGCATTTCCTTCATCCCTCATTCCAGCAAACACACAGGCCCAAACTCAGCACAACTGAGGTAGCAGGTCACGTGCGTTTTCCTCCATGCAGTATTAATGGGTCCGCTTGTTCCTTGAACAATAGGACCACGGGGCAACTCGATTCACTGAAATCACAATTGAGGAGAGAAAAACAAAGACTTCCTTCACCGAACGGCTACTCTGTGTTCGTGCCGACCTACGGGCGTTCCTTGTGAAATGTGCAGCAATAATCCAAACACTTCAGGGGCTTTAAACACCTCGTTGTGCCCTTTGTGACTGTTTCTCTTCCAAAAAAGTCACGCAGAAATACATATAGAGAGAGAGAGAGGAGGGCGGGCGGGGGAGGGGAAGAGGGCGGTGGGCGGGGAGAGAGAGGGAGCACCCCTCCGCACATCTGTCACCTCTTCGGTCTTGGGCTGCTTCCCTTTCCTTTTCCAATTCTCCTTTCCAATCACAGTTTATAAACTACATGATTCTGTATTAGTTTAGTTGCGTGCGTGCAGCCCAGCCGCTAGACGATCGTATACTTGACAAAATGGTCCCCCCCCACATTTCTGTGCCCACGTGGCCCCACACAGAGAGCTCAGGATACTACCGACTCTGTCCCCTGAGAGGACCTCCGTGGCCCGGTGGCCGCGCTGTGACCACCGTCGACCCTTCTCAGCCCCACTCCTCTTGCCCACACAGCCCCCCAAACCCCCCCCCGAGACAGCTGTCAGTCTGTCCCCCTCGTTTGCTTGTTTGTTTTGTTCTTTAGATCCCGCATGCCGGTGAGATCATTCGGTGTTGGTCTTTGTCCGGCTTATTTCCCTTGGCATAAGACCCCGTGGGCCCGTCCATGCTGCGGCAATGGTAAGATTTAGTTATTTTTGTGGCCAAGTGATACTCCATGGCATGTAGGTATGAAGACTCTTTGAAAAGATGTGTAACGTCACTAGCCGTCAGAGAAATGCAAAATAAGACCACGATGAGGTATCACCGCACACCTGTCAGAATGCCCACCATCGATAAACCCACGCACGAGCGCGGGTGCGAATGCAGATCGGTGAAGCCCCTGGGGAAAGCAGTATGGAGTTTCCTCAAGAAAGAAAAAGGAAAAATGGAGCCAGTGATTCCGCTCCTGGGGATTCACCTGGAGAACCCGGACACACGGATTCAAAAGAACTCGGGCGGCCCCACGTTCACGGCGGCGTTGCTTACAACAGCCGGGCGGTGGCCGCGGCCCACGTGCCCCATTACCAGTAGCTTTGAGCTTCTATTTTTAACACCCTTTGGGTTGTGAAATCATTAGCTTATGTTTTCCAAACTTGCACGTAAGACGATATAGAACATGTACTCTGGGACCTCCGGGCCGCCCGATCGACCCTGTTGGGCTTTAACACAAGGCAGACGGGGGGCGTGCAACTGAGAGAGGACCCGTGCACCCAGGGGAGACACGGCCCAGCTCCCGGGGGGACGTGTAACTGAAAGAGGACCCGTGCACCCAGAGGGGACAGGGCCCAGCTCCCGCGCTGGGTCGCCCACCCTGCGCCATGTCCTTTGGAAGCAAACAGAGAGGCTGCAGCAGCTCATTTTTAAGAACGAGAACTCTGCCCGGGTGCCTCCTTCTCAGTCTACTGCTCCCACGGGACAGTGGGTCCCCGGGGCCGGGAACGGTTTCCGGTTCCTCTCTGGGCGGAGAGCCTCCCTCTTTCCCTGGAGGCAGCAGGGGTCCGAAAGGCGCACCGCCTTTCCCGAAATCTCTGGTGCACGCCTGCATCCAGCTGCCCATCGAGACACAGCCTGTGCCCCCTCTCTGCTATTTACCTGGCTTTCTGGGGAGCCGTGCGAGGGCTGCGGACTTCCACGCGGGCGCCCCCGGCGGCTGGATGCTCAGTCTCGGCAGGCGGTCGCCCTCCCAGGCGGCAGGAACACGTCACACGGGGAGAGGCACCTCGCAGACCTGACACAGAAACACGGTAAGTTAATGCATTCCCGAGCCTTCTTTTCCCACCACCTCCATGTCCAAAACGTCGGGGACTATTTCACTGTCCCGTTCCCACGCGTGTGTCATAGTTCGGCACAGCCGTCCCTCTCCAGAGGCCAGTTTGCACTATGTCATCTGCACTCAACACACAAGGCCCCAGACGGCAACTCTTCACGCAACGGTGAATTCCTGCTTATCGCTCCAGACAAGGAATTCCGACCCCACAGCAACAAACTGCCTCACAGTAGTCACCTGGAAGGCTGACCATGTTCAGATGGTTCCAAACTCACCGGAGCAAGTCGGTGAGACGCTGCCCTCCCCCCTCCCCCCAGGGGAGGCGGACTTCCCGTTAGGAGGGTTCCGGGGCTGGGGGGGCTTGGTCCTTCTGGACGGAGGGCTGTAAAAATACTTGATGCTTCAGGCTATTTTCGGCTTTTATTTTCTGGCAATAACTGGGCAAAGAAAACTCCTCCATTCTTTTTTTAGTGGTTTTGGGGGCAACAAAAACAGTTTGCTCACTGGAGTTGTTTGAGCTAAACATTCATTTTCAAAAAGTCCCCTTCACGCTCTCAGTTCGGAACAGCGCCCCGCTCTGTAAGATCACCTGAACGGCGCTCCGTTGTGCTCAGGTTCGCTGGTGTAAGGGCAATCACAGTAACACGGAGCCCTGTGGGCCCACACCGCAAGGCTGCAGCCCCGATAAACAAGACCGGCTCCGGGCAGTATTTCAACGAGCACTCACGCATTCCCAAGCTCTACCGGAGACCCTCACGGGCATTCCAGACACATGTTATCATTTCTCTGTTATTAAACCCTAGTACGAAACAGTTTAAAGATGTCTCCGGGAGACCGGCGGTATCGACCAATCAGCTTTCCTTTCCTGGCTGGGCAGCGCCCCAAGGTAGAAGGGACCCCGTTTCCCCTCTGCTTTTAAATAGAACTCTTTATGTCCGTTGAAATCAGTCTCATGTTGGAAGCGCAACTTCTGCGAACCTCTGTGGTTATTAAAGGTATCTTACCGGAATGGACAGTAAACTTTTAAATGTGGAGGGACATCCATTATCACGAGTCTGGAATCCTTTAGGAGGAATAATGAAATAAAAATATGCACGGCATACTGAGAAACACAAAACAGATGTCTCCTAAATTTCAGCGTATTTATATACTTGTAAATAGTGTGTTTTTCCATAACGCGGCATTTCTCCAGGGCAGTTCGTGGGCACCCGTGGGAGGGAGGGGGCGGCAGACGGAGCCCACATTTGTTCCGAGGTCTGCTCTCGAAACCGCCTAAGACGGTTGGTTACTCAGGCTGCGCCAGAGCGGTTCCCTCTGACGAAACCCTTGAGCGGAGGTAGACAGACCATCTGCGTTTAGGCGCTTGCTGCCCTGCTCTCGTGCACGTCCCGCCCACTCCCGGTTCCCGTGTCGTGGAAGGTCCCGGAGCCGGGTTCCTTGCTTCTACGGGATCAGGCCGAAGGAGGAGGTGGCGTTCATGCCCCGGCTCGACGGTTTCACCGTCTGCCGGCAGAGTCTGTGCAGGGAGTCGGTGCGAGACCTTGGAAACGCGAGAAGAGTCTTCTGGAATCTGAAGTTCAAGTTCCTAAGCAGAAACCATCTGCTGGATCGGGAAGGAGTGAGCCCCACCCCGCCTCCCTAGCTAAGTCAGCCACGGCCCTCCAGAGCCCCCGATGCGGGGAAGAGCATGTCCATCCATCCGAAGCTCCTGGGACTGGAGTTGCTTCAGACTCCACAGAGCGGCAGGGAAGACACAGCGGGAGGGAGGGGAAGGGAAGGCGTCTACACGACCAGGGCACCGTGTCGTGGCGGTTTTGCCTTAAAAAGTGGCGAAGAAACTGAAATCGCCTTCTCTTTGTTTTCCTTCATGAAATTCAAAGTTATGACGGTCTACGGTTTAGTTTTAGAGAGTATCAAATGAGGAACTGATAGCAAATAGGGCATATGTTTTACTTTAAATTGATCTGTTCTGCTTCTTTGGTTATAGATTATTGACGGAAAGTGAGTATAAATCTGAATTATTTCCCATTCGGCTAAGAGCTTAAACATACATTCTTGTAAAATGGAATCTTAAGAAGTAACTCCTAAATTAATGATTAAAAAATGCTGACCAATTGTTCAGAGTCATTCTATTTCCATTATTATAAAGCATATCCTAAGGTTATATTTCCTATCAAAATAGATTGGCACCTAAATTTCCAGTTCCTCAGATTTTTTTAATTCACCTAGTGTAAGTGAATCACTTTATCTCCTAGAAGAGGAAACGGATACTTCCAAAATTTAAGTGAGTTTCCTTATGTTCTCGTGAGCACACAGAGACAAGGCCGCAGCCAGTTCCTAATCAGGGTCCTTTCTGGGCTCACTTCCTCCTTGAAGTGCTCAGTCAAGTTCACGGTCAAGCTGAACCCTCTCGTCCCAACTTTCAAAACCATCATCCTTGCTCCAGCCCTTGTGTGACTTTCGGTCCATCTCACGAGTTTACTGTTCATGCTGTTTCAGTCAAAAGGTAATACCTACAGTTTTACACTACTTAGTGACATAATTTACCCTATTCTGGTCGGGTTTTTTTGCTGTTGTTGTTTTTATCTCTCTCTCTTTTAAATGCATCTGAGAACCCAGCACTCGGCCGTCCCCTCCAATCAGTGTCACGCGCTGGCGCCCCCCGGACAGCAGTGCTCTCCAGCCGGCCCTTCCCCCCCCCATCCCCAAAGCCACCGGCGAACACACTTGATCTCAAAATGTCAGAACGCATAAACCTCCGTTTGTGTTTCCCTTGAGGAGCAGGGAGGCTTAATGGGTCCTTCCTTTGTTATTTTCCCCCAGGACACGGAGTCGAATGCCTGCTATTTTTGCAATAAATAAAACTTTTATATAGTTCTGAAACCTCTGGACACATCACCACCCCCCGCTCCCGGGGCAGCTAAGTTCCTTTCCCATATTTGAAATTAAGGAGGACAGATCAAAACTTGGAAACAGGGACAAACGCTATCTGCAGCAACACCCAGCCCCCCCAACCCCGCCCCACTGTACTGTCTCCATGCAGCTCCCCATCATTCCAGCGACAGCTGCAAAAAGCTGGAAAACTGTATCTTTGTTACCGTTTTCTCCCTAAAACTGTAAAAAAGCTTCAGCCCTACTGGATGCACATGAGACATGCTTCCCACTATGCTGCGAGAGGCTTTTGCCAACATTTATGATTCACACAGATAGTCAGGGCCACTAGCCATTACGACACTGGCTTGGATTTTGCTCTTTAGGGTCCCCCTTCCTGCCTTCCGTCCTCCCCAGCCAACAGACGGACCGACGGATTCTTCAACGCAAACCCACTCCAGGTGCACAGGAAAATGGAGCGTGGGAAGTAGAAAGTCCAGGAAAATGAAAACAACAACAACAACCACCACCCGAAAACAGAAACGAGACACAGATCTCCCCAAGCCCGGCGGCAGTGCGCGCAGGCCTGTCTCGGGGTCAGCCGTCCTGGGCAGAGGCTGCTCCGTCCCCGCGGGAGGCAGACCTGGGCCCCGCCCACGGTGACCGGAAGAATCCATGGGCATGACCACGTGTGAGCTGTTGCTCCACGACCCCCCCACTAGAGCACTCGGGGAACGGGTTTCCCAGAACCCGAGAACTAGGGGGTCCCCACGGTTTCTGTGTGTGTGTGTGTGTGTGTGTGTGTGTACACACCCTTCACCGTGAGCCATTTCCCTGCACCATCATCTGAAGAAGGGGGAAAGGACTGGGAACGGCCAGAGGGAATGCCCTTTTTCCCTGTGTAACTGGGCAGTAGCAACCCAAGCTGAAAACAGTCCTCCGCCCCCCCGAAACGGAGCGGTCATGCAGGGAGAGGTCTCTGGGAGACAGCGGCCGGGCCCTGCCTGGGTGGGGGCCGGTGAGGACACCCCCCGCCCGCCACGTGGCTCTGGGGTTTGCAATGGCAGCTGTGACCCGAAGGCATGGAGGGGGGAAGGGTTTGTGTCTTCCAGGGATTACTGCGAGGGGCCTGTGTCCTCCGGGGACGCTCTCGGGTGACGGGGCTGTCACCTGCCTTGGGGCTGCGTGTCCCCCCTGCCCAGGCATGCCCCCCTCCAGGAGGACTCAGCCCGTGAGTCAGGGACAGAGGGCCTGCTGTCCCCACGGAAGCCGAGGGGCAGCCGGGAGTGGGACAGTGCCGTCGTTGGCGGCGTGGCCGTCTGCGAGGGGGTGAGTCCAGGCCCCGCCAAAGTTCAGGGGCCCGCAGCACGCCGACCGAACAGAGGGGGAGGCAGGGGGGCAGCCCGAACTCAGGGCCCACGCAGCGCGGGCAGCTGGCCCCGGGGCTGTGGGGAGGGCGGACAAGCCCGCCTGTCCCAGCAGCCTATGTGGATGTTCGCACCTCAGGCTGCACCCGGGGCTCTTTCGGGAGGAAGAGGAAGGCCACCGAAGCCCCCGGGCTGGCCATCGGCCCCTGCGGCTGGGGATGGAACCTGCACTGGCGCGGAGCTCCTGACCCGCCCGGCTCACCGGGAAACCCCCAGGGCCCCGAGCAAGGGGCTCGGGCCACGCACGTTCGCGTGGAGCAATGTGTCGGTGATCTCCAGTTCACCGGCGAGCACACCGGGGCACAGTGACCCCGGGGGCGGGCGTGTGTGGCGGATGTGAGTTCTAAGCGACAGCAACAGCCAAGAAGCCCTGGGCCCCGGCCCGTGTCCTTTGCTGCTCTCGGGGTGCCCGCCCCCTGCGAAGGGGAGAACACGTGGCCAGAGGCGGGGCTGGGAATCCGGGAGGACCACGACACGGAGCAGAGGCAGGAACTACTCTGGACGACCTCCTGCTAGTCACAAGTTTAAGTGCAGTCTGGGGCAGGGGGTGCACCTCCCAGGGTTAGGTCTAGAACCATCTGCCGGCAGGCACATGGGATCCCTGCTGGAGAGACCGGCCATGCCGTTCGCCTCCCTCTCCGTGCCTCAGTTTCCCCAGCTGCAAAGAGCAAAGGGTGGGCTAGATAATTCCTCCGTCCTCTTCCATTTTAAGTCTCTCTTCTCCAACCATTCAGTCCCTGAACGTATTCTGAGAAGCACTGAGCAATCCTCGTCCGTGAGAACGACGAGTGGAAATGACCCCGAAGAAAACGGACGGAGCGTGCCAGGGAGAAAGCACTCGGCCTCCTCAGGCACCCCCTTCGCCTCCCCCGGCCCGGCCCCTCCGGCGGACTCTGCAGTCCAGCCGGCCTACGCACACCAGCCCCTCACACCGGTGGGTGTGAGCCGCCGCCCTGCCATCTGCTCTGAAAACCCCAAGAACCCGGACGGGGTGTGGGAGTAAAACCGGTCGTTCTTTGCCGTGGCCGGACACCCCGATTTGCACCCCCGTCTCCCACGTTTACAATAAACGCGTGCCGTCCGTACTGAGGTGGCCAAAAGGGTTTCTGGCCTCGCTCCCCCTTGTGTCTAACGGGTTTGGAGAGAAGGGACGACCGATTCAGCGAGGCCGGCGTTTTACAGCACCGCCCGGGGACCCACTCACGGTGCTCGAGGGCAGCACGCGTGCGGATGTGGCGTGCAGACCGCCCCGGGTCTCCAAACAGAAAGGCCTGCACGGCCCGACAGTCCTTCCGGTCCCTCAGCGGAGCCTCTACGTCTCGCCTTGCGTGGAACTGCCCTTGGCGCCGCCACGGAGATGCAGACTCAGAAACTCCTGTTCTGGTAACTGCCCTTACGCCAGCCTCAGACGCTGAGGCTCAGAAGTTCCCATTCTAGGAACCCCTTGGGGTGTTTCTGGCCTGTGGGTCCCAGAAGGCACCCCCCCCCCAAGGAGCTTGAGAGCAGCAGCTTGAGTGACCGCAAAGGAGGCAACCACCCACCCAAAGGTCGAGGAAGAGCTCGCCAAAATAAAATGAGGATACACACACACACCGCGCAAGGTCACGGAGCAGTGAAGGAACTACACGTAGAACCACACGCAGCAACGTCGACCACGCGCAGAAACACAACGCTGAGTGAGAAAAGCTAGTTCCAGTGGGGCCACGCAGAAAACCGTTTCTGCCAAGGTCCAAGGAGCAAAAGTACCCCCCCTCCCACCCCCCGACAGGAACGTACTGCCGAGGCAGCTCCGGCCAGCGGCAGGGCCACGGTGAGAGCGTGCGTGGGTCACGCGGCACCCCCCCCCCCCCGGCGAGGGGCACCGTTCAGGGCAGGCCCGGGTGGGTGTGCGGGCAGGCAGCTCCCACGTCGGTGAAGGGTCTCACCTGGCACACCCAGGGGGCGGCCTGGGTCGTGGGGGCGTCTGCGGCGGGGAGGGAGGGCGGGGAGCGGCAGCGCGTCTCCCTGTTCCGGTCCTCGGCGGGGGCTGGGTGCCGGGTGTCCGTACCGCCGCCTCTGACCCTTGGTGTTCACCGAAGAACAGATGCCCAGCACAATCCGCGCCTGTCGGCTGGGCTCTGGGCAGGGGAGGGGGCGGGCATGACACCAGCTGGCTCCCCCACAGGGAGGGTCTTCAATCTATTCCAGTCTTTTGCCCCCAGACCAACCAATCAATCTCTCTCTCTCTCGTTTGTGTTTTCTTGCTTCCAATACAAGGAAAACAGATACTTCAAGTCAAAATACTGCGGCGTAGGGCCCCGCTGAGCCACATCAGATTCCACCGGTCGCGACTTTCTCTCAAATGCGAACTCAGTGTGGCGACCCCTGGTCCTCGTTCTGTGGAAAGGGGGTGCGTTCACTCTCACCCACGCCACGCAAGCACCTCCGGCCGCTCCCCGGGTGAGGGAAGCTCTTAAAGGGCCCGGGCGTCTCCGGGGACAGAGTGTGGTCCCCAAACCTCCTGCCCGTCTGCCGAGCCCTTCGCTTCTACGCCACGGGCAGCCCGTGGGCGGTGGGACCTTCCTGCCAAAAACGCTAGGAACAAAGGCCGGCCACAGCGCCTGGAAACTGAGCAACGGCGTGTTCGCAGTGGCTGTCTCGTCCCGAAGCGCACACCTCCTAGTGACACACGCTCCCCGCTGCCTCAGCCGGAGCAGCGTCGTCTTAATTAAAAAATAAACTCAAATGCGTCCCAAGGGCCTGTTAAAGTCACTTGTTCTCAACAAGCCTCTTGCATCTCAATCTTGGCATGATTTAAAAACTCATCAGATTTTCAAATTATTTAAATCTACTGGAAAATACGTGAAGTCTCATGCTGTATTTTTGGAGCATGAAAACATGACATCTATCAGTTACTACTCTAACCCATGCTCCCAGACAAAACACGTTTTGCTTTTTTAGTAACTATATATGTAAAAAAAAACCACTGGGTAGTATATGAAGGTATAAAATAACTGATTACATGTTTCTGCCTATGTCTATTTGAGAAAATGCCCACTACTCCTGGAAGAATGGAACTCACTTTTATATCTGCAGGAGCATTTTAAGTGTTAATTTTTAGGAGGTTTTTATCGTTAAGGCATTATAATAAACATTCTTTTAAAAGCAGGTCTTCAATTGTAAACTTTTCTCCCTGGTGACATTTGAAACACAATCGATATTGTGTGCTATAGAAGGATTCAGAGAACAATGTTCATTTATGTATAATAATCCCTCTATTATACATCAGTTTAACATAAACCACTTCACTGAGAGAAAAATATTTCGCCTGTAATTCTCTAATTGCTGACCACCATTGAATATGTGTCTATAATACACCATCATCACGTCACATATGAGTAAGACGACAATCTTAAAATCAAACAAACAAAATGTGGAGGGGACACTGCAGAAAAAGGGGGGAAATCTATGAACTAGTAAAATTAATTAAGTGAACATAAACCAAAACATGCCCCCCCCCCCAGCTTGCTTAGGCCAACTCCTAAAGCAGGTCTGACAGATAATTTGCTCGATTTTTCCAGCAGAAGACAGCAACAAGGACAAGCCCCGGAGGCAAGAGGGCGAAATGAGACGCCCTGACAGATTATAACAGGGTGTCCCCGCAGATGACGCGGTGTTTGGACTGCCTGGCTACCCAAGGCTGTAATTTAAATGCCACCGGAGACACGTAAGCCCGGGCGTGGAGACAGGGATACTGTAAAACTTTCTGGGTCTGTAGCTGCAACGCAGATACAATCGTTCCTTTGATCTTGCCACGCTGAGCCTGCTGTCCAGAAGGAAACGTCTTTGTGCTTCTGCCTTCAGCTGGGACGGATTTCAGTTTCCATCTAAATCACTTCGCTAACACCACATTAAAAGCAAAGTGCCCTGTATCAGCAGAGCGGAGTTTCCCCCCATCGTTATTTTAGGTCACTTTACGGCTGCGTGGTGCTCCAACACTGCGCCCCGAATACCCCCATGTGGGTTCAAAGCGATGAGACACGAACTTGCAATGTCTCCGTGTGGGCCGCCCAGCAGCGCCTGTAGCTTACAAATGCAGAACACTGTCGTTCTCTTCTCTTTGTGTACATCTTTTCCATGGAGAACGGGGTCACGTTTTGTTTCTGAGACTCGGCAGCACACACACACACGCACACACGCGTGTCTGACCCGGGAGGAAGCGTGGCAGCTCACCATCTGTAAGGAGGCACGTGCCACGGCGACGTGCACAATCGCAGTGACCGCGTCCCGAGCGTGACTCTCGGTTACTGGAACTCGGGTGCCGCGGGAGCACTCGGGGGGTTAAGTTGGGGTTTCCAAGGTGCGTGTCACCCGTTCAGAGGAAGCTACGCCGAGGGAGGTTTCCCAGCAGGTTCGCTGCGTCTCGGTCTCTGAAAGCAGACGGAGGGCGGAGCCCTGGCCCTGCCGTGGTCTCGGTAGCTCGTGCCAGGGGACCCGCCGACATTGTTGTCGGAAGCGCACAGGGCACCTTGTTTCTGGACCCCGGAATGCCAGCGTTATCTCCAGGTTACAGTGAACCTCGGGTCTTAAGCATTTATAGTTTGATTCTTTTCTTATATTAGAAACGAGAAACCATCTTTTTTTTAAAAAGTAGACACTACGTGAGGACTATTTTTGCCAAGACTGCCTCTATTATTACAAATATCATTTCTATGCATCTCTTTAATCTCGTCACACTTCAGAACGACCTCCAGTTTGTCTTCTAGGTGGAGTTCGGGGATGATTGAAAGCAGCCTGTCTCATGGCCCAAAATGACACCTTCCCTCTGTCAAACCCATGCCCGGGGGCGGGGGAACCTCGGCAAGAAACGACTGGAGTTGGGCGTGAACAAAGGAAAGTGTCTCCTGCGAACCTCGCTGCCTCCGTTCCCCCCTTCTGCCTCGGTATATTTTATCATATCACGCGTCACGCCTTCCTGAAAGTCCTCTTTCCGACTGGGAATTCTCCAGAACGGGGGCAGTGATTTTAAAAGTGAATGAAAAAATTTAAAAGCTTAGTTGGTACAATTTCTGGAACAAATCGAAGGAAAACCACCCAATCGCCTCGGACATTTCCGCAAACGCCCATCAACACGCAAACCCGCGGCCCCCGGACGGAAGCCGGTTCCACGTGGCCGAGTGCTCGGCACCAAGTGGAAAGGCTTCCTGCCAGGTGGGCACCCCAGGGGAGGCTCCCGGCGAGCGAGTCACCCACCTGCGGCGGGCGGCGAGTGCGTCTCCGGCATCGCAGCGCCTCCCCAGCGCGGGACCGGGTCACGTGACGCCAGCCCCCACCTGGCGGCGGGTGCGGCGCCTCCCTTCTGCGGGTGGATTCCTGGGCAGCGAGGAGTCCGAGACGGCATTTCGCCCAAACCTCTGCAAAACAGAAAAGATGTGTAAAAATGCCAGGATACAAAAAGAACAAACCAAAACTCTGCTATGGGCCCTAGAAAGAATTGATCTATCTACAAAAGTCCGGGGACAGCCCGAGATGGATGCGGAATTTCCCGTGACCCAGGGCGCCAACGATGACAAGGGAGCGACAGCGAACACGCCGAGAAAGGTGAGGGGTGTGTCCTTGGCGGCGAAGGACAGTCGTGGACAAGACACTGGGTATCTTGTGTCTGCTTTCAAAATTGGTTTTTAAAAAATTCGCGTCGACATTTTTCTGGAATCCGTACTTGCTGATGGTTACAAGGGTCAGCCCGAGGCTCATTTCCTAACAAGACCTTCTGGAGCAAGGAAGGTAAGCAAGCAGAAGACTGTGCAAGCCAATGTCGCTTTATAAACACTCGGCGTGCACTGGGGTGTCACAACATCCGCCAGCCATCACAGGGACAGTTCAGTGACCCCGACACAATGGGCGTGGACAGGCAGGGTCAGCGGCATCGAGGACACGTGCAGAACAGAGTCAAACCACTTCTCATCAGGAGAAGATACCAGAGGCCACAGGCACTGGAATGGAGGGCCCACGTAATTATTTAAAATCAACCATCACAGCCCTGGCTGGTGTAGCTCAGTGGACTGAGCGCACGGGCTGCAAACCAAAGTGTCGCAGGTTCGATTCCCAGTCAGGGCACATGCCTGGGTTGCAGGCCATGACCCCCAGCAACCGCACATTAATGTTTCTCTCTATCTCCCTCCCTTCCCTCTCTAAAAATAAATAAATAAATCTTTTAAAAAAATCAACCATCAAATTATGGGAGCTTTAACCTCCAGGGGCGTAAAATTCCAGAAGAAATCATGAGAGAGAGACTGAATTAAGTCGGCAGTGAAGGCAAATAAAAATACGTAACGGGGAACGCTAATCCATTTTGGAACTCGTGTGAGAAGGAGGAAATCGCCAGGACATTTGTCAACTAAACAAAAGTCACGTCGCTGCGTTTTCGCAGAGGCGCATGCTGACTCGCGCGCCCCTCACACCCCGGCCTGCAGCCAGCCAGCTCAGACTCGCTGGTAATAATCCTGATTAATAAGGTAATTGTAGGGTGTTGGGAAAATTCCCGTCATTCTTCATTTGATGAGTAAAAAAGCACCCGTGCTCTTATGATGAAGATAATAAGTATCTGTAGCCACTTTAAAGACAGATTAATCCCATTGCCATGCCCTTTTCAATGAATAAAAGCATCCCGAATTAACGATATATAGATGGTATCAGCTCAAAAACAGAAAACTGTTCTGGGCATTGAGGGAGCCCTGCATACAGTTGGTTTTGCTCAAACAGAATGATTCTGCAGGTCTTGTGGACAGCCCTTGATTTTTGGCAAATCCATAGGTATCTGAAAATCTGATACAGGGGCACTGTGTGAGCCAGCCCAGAGCACACAGCTCTCACCGTACACAGAGAGTCTGTCTCTAACTTAATCAATTCTCTTCCAAGTATTTAGGGAGGAGCCTATCTCTGGGGCACTCTCTGGGGGCGGCTTCTTGCACGACGAGCACTCGAGGAAATGAGAAGAGACAGAATCATAAATCAGCCACGGAGAGAGCCATGGGTAGGAGCAGAATCTGGTGGGATGCTCAAAGGACACACTCTCCACTCCACACGGGGAAACTGGGACTACGTCCGCAAGGCACGGAGGGGTGTCATCGAGGGCAATACCTGCAAGTGGTTCCCACTGTGACAAGTTACACTTCTGCGTCCAGGTCTGAAACAGGGTGGGTCCCCGGTGGCGTGTTCTCCAACATCCCAGCTTCCGGAGCTGCCAGAGAAAGATGCAGACAATGAGGGCCCTTAGGAGTGTGGAGCTAACTTCCTGCCGTAGGAACGGCTGCTACTGTGACAAAGCCTCCCAGGAAGTCAGGACCACAAGGATAGTGAGGTCATTGCAGGCAGGAAGGAAAGGATACAATTTTGTTATCACAAGATTACCCTCCCTGTGGAACTCTGTGGCTCCAGCACTGACGCCTGCGCTTCGGGGACGCACACGGGGACGGGAGGTCGTGGTGGGGAGGGTGTGGAGGTGGGACGCTGCCCGCGTGGGAAGGGATGGCCCCAAGCACTGAGGTGTGTAGGAGACAGCCTTGTTGGACTCTCAGAGCATCTGCGAGGGGTGAGATGTGTCATCAGCTAAAGCTGGTCTTGCCAAGACAAGAACCAGATGATGAGGTTTATCTCTGAGGGCTCCAGAGCCACAGCGTGTCCGTCTCAAAAAGGAGATAATGTTGAGACACAGGTTTATTAAGCGGCAGCTCTCCGTGAGGCTGTCTTTGCTTATTAGTGTCTGAGAAGAGGGAACAGGAGGCTGACTTCCCCGTATCAAACCGAGAAGAGCTTCTCTGTCAACATCCCCACCGTTACCGAAAGTCAACAAGGGATCAAAGCCTCTCCAAGCCTGTCTGCCCAGGCTGGGATCAAGGTGCCGCCTTCTGTAGGGGAGTTTTCCAGACGACGTGACGTGGGCGTGTTTCACGGGCAGAACCAGGACACGTGTACGCACGGGGGACTGAGACCAACTGAAAAGACCCAACGGACGATCCCCTGCTTTCCCGAGGGTTTCAATTACTTGCTGCTGCGCCTGGGACATCGGTTTCCTGTTCTTTGTAGGTGAGCAGCGCAGGGGGAGGCTGGGTTCACCCACGGACAAGGATGGTGTCTGAGAAACGCTCAGTCCCGGGTCCCGGGTCCACCCCGCCAACCCCAGAGATGGGGGTCTCCCCCCCTTCACCTCGGAAACCCCGCCCCGCCCCGACGCCGGGCCGTCCTGGGCTCCGGCAGCAGCGCAGGCCACTGTGACTGACTCAGGCCGGGCCGACGGGGGACCGCTCAACAGCCACAGGTCCCCGTGGGCGACTCCTGAGCCTCGTCTCCCTCGTTCTGGCGGATTCTGGAGTCAGGACAAGAACGTTACGCCTGTCTTGTTAAATCCGACTGAGGAACTCCCGACGGCACAGCCCCAGAGAGTACCTGCCGCACCGTCATCTGCACCCACGGTGCCACCGGGAGATGTCCAGTGCGTGGCCCCGTGGCCACAGGTGACAGCCTTGAAGACCTCTGAAGATACGTACATATGTTCTGAACCCTGAGTGATCTCTTCGATCTATTAGATGTCCTGTAGTCTACTGGCATCTTACAGTCCACAGGACCTCCTCACCGAAGTTCAAGTACTGAATTGGTAGGGCTCCGCGGCACTTTTAAAAGCTAGAAAATCTATCAGGACAAGAGCTACTGCACACCTCGGGAGGGGGCCTCAAAGAGGCAGGATGATTAATTTCTTCCCTGGCAGGTGGACACAGGATGACTCAAACAGTGTGAACAAAATATTGACAGTTCGGGAAAATGGCACACGGGCGTTTTTCTAACGGGGGAGGCGGGCTCCGGCTTCCCAGGTCCTCACTGGGTGTCCGGCCACACTCCCAGGGCGTTTACCACGGTGCGCCCATCCACGCTCCCGGGGCGTTTACCACGGTGCACCCATCCACGCTCCCGGGGCGTTTACCACGGTGCGCCCATCCACACTCCCGGGGCGTTTACCACAGTGCACCCATCCACACTCCCAGGGCGTTTACCACGGTGCACCCATCCACGCTCCCGGGGCGTTTACCACGGTGCACCCATCCACGCTCCCGGGGCGTTTACCACGGTGCACCCATCCACACTCCCGGGGCGTTTACCACGGTGCGCCCATCCACACTCCCGGGGCGTTTACCACGGCGTACCCAAACAGAAAACCTGCACGATTTAACGAACGCATCGGAATCTTTCACGCAGCTTTTTTTTCTGTTAGAAGTCTTAAGCTTGCTTTGGCTTTAACAACATTCACAGGTAGAAGAATAATGTGGTCTATTTTTCCTAGGGTCCAAGTGTTGAAATTCCTTCATTCCTGGATTCCAAGGGTTTCTCCTGCCTCCCAGACTCCCTTGTGCCTACTGTGTTTTCCCTTCCTTCCGATGTATTCTCACACACACACACACACACACACACCATTCCAAACACGGCAACTAAATATCTTCTCTAGTATCTCCTTGTTGTGTTTAAAAACCATAGTGGACAGCCCGTATTTGGGATGCATGGTTTTCAGCCGGTCCGCAGGCGGACGGCCCGGGTTCTCTGCAGACTGCTGTCCTCCGCCCCTGGTGGTTCGTGGACTGTCCCCGAAGGGCAGTGCTGCCGTGCACAGGTAACGCCGGCGTCTGTGGGAAGCACCGGAGCTAATCTCGAGCTCCATAATGAGTCCCATAAAAAATCGCCTCATCGGGTCGTATTTGTTCCCTGCTGCGAACGCTCCCTCCGAAAGCAGGCCAACATATTTAACGACGGCCTGCAGGAAAGCCGTTCCTGTCCGCTCAGGAGCTAACTAACACCTTCCGCCTTCACTGACCTGGTCTACGGCACACGTTTCCACACACGGCACAAATACGAAGCCTGATGTCCCTTGAAATTTGTGTAGTTCAGTGCAACGTAGAACATTTTAGGTGAGGGATCTCCACAGAGTGTGTGTTTCCTGCAGAAACATCTGCATCACGGAGCTGCTCTCCAGCTCACACAGGAGTCCTTTATGCAGAATACAAAACCCCGCGTGACAAGGGCTTCTCACCCAGGGGCGGCGTCGGGGGCGGCAGCGGTGTGGGGGAGGGGAGGGATGCTACAGGCAGTGGTGAGTGGAGGCAGGCTGAGGATGCTGAGAAAAGCCGCACGACACTCAGGAAGCCTGCCACACCCGAATGACCAGGTCCCAAGTGTCCACACGCACCTGCTGAGAAACGCTGACCTAGGCACCTCAATTAAATGGCGGTTACGTGGCATCGCATATATATTTTAGTGATTGTATCTCTTCTCAAACATCCCCAACCAGTTTCTGGGGGAGTATTTTCTCTGCCTAAGCACAGGCAAGGCTGAAAGCCTGCACAAACAGGCAGAAAGACTCACAACAGGTTATTTTGTGGGCTTCCCCCGCATCGTTTTGATGAGAGCCGTACTACAGAACCCCTCTGCTCTCTGTCAGCTCGGTGGCTCTGTTCACTTTCGTGGAACTACAGGAAAGGCCCCGGACCATAGTGAACATGATGGAAGCCGGACAGGCGCCCACGCCTCATCATTTCACTGGTGCTTCTGTCGCTGTGATTTGTCCTACAAGTCACCCCGTCCACACCTGGGGCTTTCCGACTCCCACGGGGGCATCCCTTCTCTGAAATCATTCCGGGCTGAGACTCCTTCTGGAAATCTGGGCTGCGGGCCGAGGACAGCGGTCTGGTCCCCTGGTACAGTCTGAGGGACCTTCTCCCCAGACGCCGCGGGGCGGCCACACCTTCCGCCGCCCGACTCCAGCCGCAGCTGCCGCCGCAGGAAGAGAAATTACAGCTTCCAACCCTTCATTTCCCCTCATACCTATAATCCCCCAGTTCCAGTCTGTCTGACCACTCAGCAAAGCTGTGTTTTTTTGTTTTTTTAGGTTGTCTTTTTTTTTTCGCTCTTTAAAAAACACGAGTGCAGCGTTGGGGGACCACCCCCCCCCCAACTCTGCATGCAGAAGGAAGCAGAAGCCACCCCTGGAAGCTCTCGATGGGGAAAAACGCCCTGCCGGGACAGGGAGGGACACAGAGGACACACGGGGCAGCTTCTCGCAACGGCGACTGTCACGCGTGTCCCGAAAAGCCGTCGCTTCCCGCAGGCCTTCCTCCCACACCCGCCCAGCTGCTCCTCGGTTCACTTCTGTGTATCCACTACTCGCGTGTTTAAAGGGAGCGAGGACGAGAGCCCCTTTCTGACACGGCGCCGCGCTCGGCGGCACTGAAGTGCGTATTGTAATGGCCCCGGCTCCCAGGGGTCCCCAAAGTGCATTTACGTGCCCGGCCAGCACTCCGCGGAAAGGAAAAGGAAAAGGAAAAGGAAAAGGAAAAGGAAGGCGGCCGGGGCGGGGCGGGGGCCTGCACGGAGGGAGCCACGCGTCTCAGCGGGACGGGGGGGGGACCCACGCACCTGAGCCCAGCCCACGTCGCAGGCGCAGCGAGCTCCTCTACGGAGACGAGCCCTCTCTCTCTCTCCAGCGTTTGCGGGACCGTCGTCAGAGGTGCAGATCAAATCACCTTCTGGTTCCTTGACGTACTGGCCGGCGATCTTGCCAATATCCCTGTCGGGAGTGGGGGGGCAGAAAAGGAGGTATTACGTGAAACTCAGGCCACTCTAAGCAAATTAGCCATTCATAGAGGTTAACATCGATTTTTATCCAAAAGTCAATCAATTAGCCAAAATTGATTTTTATCCAAAAGTCAGTCAATTAGCCAAAACTGATTTTTAGCCTCTTATGGAAATGTTGTCCGATGCTCCCCATTCATAGAGGTCTGCCAACTTTTCATGTCCCGAATGTCCTCCTTTCCAGGGCTACTACTGTGGCCCCAGGAAACACTGTTTGGGTGCACCCCACACTAGACAGGTCCTGCAAAGCCACCGCCAGGGCCCGAGGAGAAGGCGAAACAAACCGCTGGCTGCGTCGTTGAGTGTAAGAACCAGTGTTCACTTGGATGCATCTCCCACAGGGGAAAAGGTCTGAAGTTATTCAATCTCATTTGTGCATTTGTTAAATAATGCTAGATTTCATTGCCAAACACATTAAGTGTATTTGCTTTGCTTTTTTTATCATTTCTCTAAAGAGACTAATTAATCTGAATTATACCACGCTATCTTTGCATCATTTTCCTAGTCCGTGATAATGGTTGAATTTTCAAGAAGAAAGTCTTGAATGGGATTAAAAAACGTGTCTCCCTTTCCATTAGGCTAAATGAAGGCAAGCGGATGTGTTTCTTTCCTCTTTACTAATGAATTGGAGAATCCTGGAATTTTGCTTAAAAAATGCCGTCAGAGACACTGTTTAGAAAAAGGGTTAATATAAATAAATATGGGTCAGGTGTACTTGAAGAAATGCAGAGTCCCAGGGGCTCAGCCTTGGTGGTGCAGAATGTCGAGACAGTTTGGCAAGGTCCCAAGAACACGACCAGCCGGCCGGCGCGGTGACGACCACGCGGTGCTGAACGGACTCCTACAGGCGACTTTCCCCGGGAGGGGGAGGGGCTCCCTCACGCTCTCGGCCGCCGCCCCGAGCGAGCGCCGCGTTGCAGTTGGAAGCCGCAGAACGCCGCCCCGCCCGCCGCCCCGCCCGAGTTTTACCCCCTCCTTCCGCGCGCGGCCCGCTCGCGTGCTGGAGGCAACAGCGCTTCTGTAGACCAACGCTCAAGAACTTCCTAGGACTGGCAACACTCATTTCAGATGGGGAAACCGAGGCCCAGAGACTCGCAAAGGCGTGCAACACAAGGTCCCCAAACTTCTCCACGGGCGCTTGGCCACGCCCCCTTCCGATAGCAAATAGATGAATACGTGTAGCAAAGCTACACGTAGATTGTTTTAAATGCCACGGAGGACATGCCAGATTTACTAACAAAGACTGGGATCTCTTGTTTAAAATGCCGGGTGGTGTCGGGAGCAGCCTGGGAAGGGTGGCCAGACCGGACCCTGGCGGGGATGCTGGGGTGGCAACGAGGAGTTTGTGCAGAACTCCTGAGTGGTCCTGGGGTTCGCCTGAGTCTCCCCGTCCCCTGTCGCCTCGCACTGGTGGACCACTACTGTGTCATCCACCAGCTTCTGTCCCCCCTCTGATACGCCCTTTGGCTACAGAAGTTTAAGAATCTCAGGAGCTTGAAAGGCAGTACTAGAGTCCAAACCTGTGTTCTTAATTAAAAAAAAAAAAAGATTTGTTGTAAGTTTTTTTAATTAAAATAGTCCCAGGGCCATTTCTCAGCCTATAAAGCTGGACGGCTACACGAACTCCATTTAAAGTGTTAATGATCTAGCACTTCCCGGCGTGCAGTAAGCCCATTCCAATTCTTCTAGAAGCCTTGAGCCTGCGCACTCAGAACGGCACCGTTGCCTGGGCAGGGCGGGAAGGGACGGAGGACTGACTGAAGGTTTCGCCTGAGCCCTCGGTGCCCGGGGCTGAGGCCACCGGACGCCATCACGCCGTCCACCGAACACTTCGACAGAATTCTGCCGTTCACAAGTCCCTCCTCACAACCATCGGAATCTGCGCCACATCTGGATGAAATTAAAGAAATACAGGCGCACGGCAATCTCAGGGGGCAGCCGGGAGAAGCCCCATCCCTTGCATAAAAAAGATGACTGTAAGTGAGTATTCCGAGCTTCCTCCCTCCTCCAAGCCCACTGCTTGTGGCTCTGTTGTGCCTTAATGACCAAACCCTTTTCCTCCTTTTTTCCTTCCCCACACATTTGCCTTTCATCTCCGAAAGCCGTCCTGGCCTGTGTGAGTTCAGGCGGCGAGGGCAGGCCGCCCTCCTGGGGTGAGCGATGGCTCTCCTTTGTCCCCGGGCCTGCCTTTGCACCCACTCGCCCGGCCTGGTGCGGAGGAGGCCGAGCAGACGGGCCCCCCCTGAGAGATGCCAGAAGGGGCCGTGGCAGCCGAGGGCCCAGGGCTCACAAGCTGCAACCCGCCCGCTCGGCAGGGCGGAGGTGCTGAGGTCTGCGTCTCTAATAAACCCTCGCTGCCTCTCCAGCAACGACAGCCCGGGGCTGCTTGCTGGGAGGGGCGTCTTTTTATGGGAAACACACTCGCAAGGATGTAATATCATCTTGCTGAATCCTTTGATTCAGTAGGGTTCCTTTTTAGCTTCCTCCCTTTATTCTGCAGACCCTGTGAAGGGAGCCCAGGTTCATTTCCATGCAACAACGTCTCTCTGCTGAGCTCAAGATCTTTTTAACCATGTGCCTAAGAAAAAAATATCTTGCCACTGAATGTCTTTTTGCAGGCTGAAAAGACTTTTAGGTTCAACAACATTTGTTAGGCTTTGATGCAATCAGATGCAATTTCAGTCTCCTTGAAACTCGCAGCCCCGCCCCCCGCATCACACATGTGTGTCGGCTCACAGCTCTCCTCGCGGGTGTCGTACACATGCAATCTATTTTCCCGGAGAAAAAGGGGATCTTTGTGTCTTTGTCTCCGGGCGCTGCTTTCCGGCAAGTCCTGGCAGAGCCGGGACTGTCGAGGCACGGGGTGGGGGTGGGGTGCCTGGCAGGCCCTCCCCAGCTTTTCTGTGCCTGTCATTCCCGGCCACTCAGCAGTGTTCGGGGGTCTCAGAGAGGGGCCCGGAGGGAGGGAGGGGGGTTTTCACGGATGAAAGCCGGACTCCGAGGCCTGCCCCATGCTAATGACCGCGGAGAGAGGGGGGAGTCGGAGAAACTTTTACTGTGCTCTAATGAAAAAGACTCTTTGGAAATGGCTCATTTACAAAATTGCACATGGTGACATTTCCAGATCTCGGGGCAGAAAGCCCCTCGCCGTATCATGTTACGGGCTCCATGGCTCTCGGCCTGGCCCAGGCCCATGCAGCTAGTTTAATTTTCCACCGGCGGCTTCTGGTTCTTTCTGCCCTCATTTCCTTGTAACCTAACTGACAGCCCAATTCAACATCTGCATTTTTTAATCTGGAGCACCCCCCCCCACACACACACAAAACTATTTTGGTTTCCTTCTAAAACTTCCAGATGTTCTGGCTCCTTCCTGATTTTAATGCATGCGAGTACGTTTGCTGCCATTTCAAAGACGGAGCCAGACGAGCTGACCAGACCTCTCTGTAGGAAGAGCTCTGTGACACGCCAGTACCGGGCCGCCGTTTCTGTCTCTTTAGCGTGACCTTCACGTTAGAATCTGTCTCACTGCCTTGGTGTTGGAGACATTGTTCTGAGCTACGAGAGAGTTCAAAACTGATACCGCCATCGGTCCCTTCACTGTTGCGTCCAATGAAGAAAGTCTCCAACTCTGTTATCTCCATGTCTAGGAACAGGAAAAGAAGTGGCTGTTTTGTTTTGTTTTGTTTATTTCTGCCTTTTTAATTTTCTTTTCTGCTGTGAGAGATAAGAAGTTGTAAGCTATGCGCGACAACAATGTATTTTAACTCGGTTTCCGGCTTCGTATACACACAAAGGGTTCATCAGTATCTTTGCCTTGAAGTGTCTGGGTGACTTAAAAGAACCTCGAATGTATTTCAAGAAAACCTGTTTCCCATAATCAATAACAGGAAGTGGGGTAAACAGACACTTGCTGACAACTGAAACTGAAAACACACACACACACACACACACACACACACACGTGGGAGTGGGCCCGGCGACACTGCCCATGTACCCGCAAAGGGGCCCGGTCCCCAAGTCCGCAGGCAGCTCACACAGAACGCCACGGAAAGCGGTCACTCCCTTCACACTTGGAGGTGACTCCGACCACGTAAACACACGCTTGCAGAACGCAGTCGTCTCTCCCGCCGGCGCACTCCGTGAATTTGATCTCGGGCCGTTGGTGCGCTTCAGACATTTAGGCAGAAAACCCTTAGTTCCTGGGGTAGAGCTTTTCCAGGCAGCCAAGCGAACATGAAACAGGACGATCTCTTCTTTATTAGAAGATTGTTATGAGATTTCTGAAGGCTGCCCTGGCCGCACACTTGAACTGGAGGGCCAGAGAGGATGCCCTTGGTGCGCACATGTTGTTGCTTTAGGGGTGGGGGAAGCACATTGCATGCCAGTCACTAATTAGACACACAGGATCGCGGGGCGGCTCACCCCGCTGTGCTTACAGCCCCAGACCGAGCTCCCGAGAGGGCCGGAGCCTTCACCCCGCTGTGGCACCAGGAGGGGCCGGTCCAACCCCCAGCCCTGCGCAGCAGGCTGAGCTGCGGCGCAGTTTCCCTCTTTCCTGGACACACGGAGCTCAGTCTGACTTCGGAGCATTTTTACAGTGTGCTGCTTGACATGAAGTTAAGTTTTAGGCATGCATGTCTTGATCCTTTACGTGAAAAATACTTACTACGTCAAAGGAAGATGAATGCAAAATGTTTCCGGTTTTGTGGGAGGAGCAGGCGAGTGGGGGTGGGGGCGATGGGAGGGCGTGCCTTTGCTTTGCGACGCCCCGGGGTCGCAACGGGAGGGGGGGCGGCGTTAGCCGATTCCAGGGCCCCGACCAGAAACCTAAACTGTCTCCCGGGGCCGGGGCCGAGACAGCTCCTAGGAAGTGACGTCTTAACGCCGGACCAGAGAGGAGGGCGGTGGGAGCTGGGAGTCAGGGCCAGAGGGTTT